TGCACGAGACACTCCTTTAAATTAAAAATACTCAATGATTTATCAATTGAGAAATATTATTTTTCATCTATTAATTATTTATATTCCGTAAATATCCAAAATTCGAAAAATAAATTCAAGATCTGGTACCAAAAACACGAAAGCTCCTCGTACCATTTCAGTACTGAAGCTGCCGTGTTCCTGGTTATTCATCCTTGCGATTACGAGAAATAAATATCCATCAATTTTCGATATCAAAGTTTTGAGTGTTTCATCCCTTTGAAGTTTTTTTTTTGATAAAGGATTGTATTAACTGTGGGTGAAAAGGTACATAGTGTTGCTATAGAAGCATTACAAAATCAACAATCATTCCAACCAGTCAAATAACCGTGGAGTGATAGATAAATGGGATTAAGCAGTTACAGAGAACCATAACTGTACGCTTCTGCTCGCGAGCTCCGATGACGTCATGCGGAGGGCCGCAATACGAGTCCTGAAGATTTTGTCCGTTTCCCTGATTAGTGGTGAGGATCCTGAAAGATCTAGTGATGAAGTCTCATGTTCCGCTCTTTCCAAATAATATAAGTAATGATCTGCCAAATCATTAAAGCTATACATCTCTTGATTTTACAGCCACGGAAGGATTCCAACACATGCAAGATATTACTCCAAGATGGGAATGACCCTACCGGAATTAGCTTACCCAATGTGGTCTGGATTAGGGAATTCGAGAATACACACTCATAATAGATGTGGTCTCTAGTTTCTTCTTGTTGCCGACATAAGAGACATTCTGGATCAACATGAAGACCCCAAGAGATCATCCTAGCTCTAGTGGGGCAGCGATTTAAATTAACTAGCCAGCAATGGAAAGCAAACTTAGGGATATGATGTTTGTGCCAAACAACCTTTGGCCATAGAACAGACGTGGAGGAGCTGCTCACAGATTCCCATACAACCTTAGAAGAGAAAGTCGAGTGTACCTTCCCCTTGACTTGCCATAATGTCTGATCAGGACTGTTCGTGAGATGGAAAGAAGCTAAGTGGATGGCCAGCTGAATAGCGAGGTCAGATCTTGAAGGGGGTAGCTGCCATGCCCCATCCGAGTAAGCTTCAGCGACGGTCGATTGAAGGTGAATGCCAAGCTGTGATATTCCCCCTCTTCCAAACAGATTGATCAACGGACCGAAGGGAGTCCAAGGGTCAAACCAAAACTTTGTGGTTAGCCCATTTCCAACTTGCACAGTAAAGAACTCGGAAGCCCACGATCTCAGTTTCAACAGCCGCTTGAATGTCCAAGACTGATTAGGCTTGATAGTAACCGACCAAAAGGAGGAGCGGGAAAGGTATTTATTAATTATCCAACCCACCCATAAGGAGCCCGCCCGGAAGAATAAACTCCAGATCAGTTTTAGTGCTGCAATGTCATTCCATTGTGCTAAGTTCCGTAACCCCAAGCCTCCTTCCCGCTTCGATTGTGCCACTGTATCCCAAGCCACTCTTGCCCCTTTAGTTGGTTCGACTTTTCCTTTCCACAAGAATGCTGAGCACAAGGAGTTGATCTGTTGTATGGTACGCTTCGGTAAGATGAAGGCGTTGCACCAATAGCCGATTATACCTGAGATGACTGAACTTAACAGCTGTAGTCTACCAGCGAAAGAGAGAGCACGTGATGTCCACGATTCCATTCTACCTCTGATTTTCGATATAAGAGGTGAGCAATCATTGGGGGATAATTTACGGGAGGAGAGGGGTAGTCCAAGGTACTTAAAAGGCAGATCCGAGGGCTCGATTCCCGTCATCAAAGCCATATGGTGCAGTTCCTCCTCAGTGCAACCTCCTGCATAAAGGCTAGATTTTCCTTTGTCGGTGTATAAACCTGATATATCACCAAACTGGGTGAGTAGTTGCAATAATGTCTGAACCGAGAGGTTCGAACCATCACAGAAAACCAACAGATCATCTGCAAATGCCAGGTGGGTTATGTTTAGTTCTCTGCATCCTGGATGGAAGCCTAATAAATTCTGAGCTGCCGCCGAATTTAGCATGTTAGATAGGACCGACATGCTCAAGATGAACAGATATGGTGATAGAGGGCATCCTTGTCGCAGCCCTCTAGTTCCTCTGAAAAAACCAAAGAGACCCCCATTAATAGAAACAGAGAAGTGAGGAGATGTAATACATGCCTGGATTGGTGCAATGAGAATGTCAGGCAACCCCAGGGCACGTAGAACAGCCAACATAAAATCTCATTCGATTGTGTCGAAAGCCTTCGCAACATCTAGCTTGATCGTGGCCCTCCTAGTGACATTCTTCCTGTGGTAACCCTTAAGGATTTCAGCAGCTAATAGGCAGTTTTCAGTGATGCTTCGTCCACTAAGAAATGCCGATTGGTTGCGAGGTGTAACTGCTTCAACAATTGGCTTGAGTCTGGATGCTAGGAGTTTAGTGATCACCTTGTAGACTGTGTTGCAACAAGAGATGGGACGAAAGTCGGTCAACTTTTCTGCACCAGGAACCTTTGGGATCAGAACCAATGTGGTAGCGTTTATAGACTTCGGCATAGAGCAAGTTCTGAAAAAGTGCTGGACCGCTTGAGTAAATTCTGCGCCGAGTATATCCCATGTCTTCAAGTAAAACTCCGCTGTTAGACCGTCCGGACCTGGGGTTTTATTCGAAGGCAAGGATTCCAATGCTGATTTGATTTCAATATCTGAGAATGGCACTGATGCCGCCTGTATCACAGATTCAGGAGCCCTTGAGATGTTTCCTACAACAAAACTCTGAACGAAGTTATCCTGACGTGCCAACCGCGTGGGCCCAATGGCAGATTCAAAATATTCAACAGCCATGGATGAAATTTGTTCTGGGTCCGTTATCCGTTGCCCTTCCGGAGATATCAAATGACGGATAGTATTCTTGGAGTTCCTGAGCACCATTGATCTGAAAAAAAAACCTGAATTCTGATCGCCAGTACGAAGCCAGTGGACCCGAGATTTTTGTTTTAGGAATTTCTCCTCGATCTCTTTAAGATGAGTCCACCGCTGAAGGCATCGGTTCTCCTCGGCAAAGGAGGCTGAAGATGGGTTCCGCAAAGCAGTGTCCTGCGCATGCAACAATAGAGAATGTGAATCAATGACTTTCTTTTGTAAGTCGCTGTAATTTTCTTTACAAATGGTCTTAATCGGAATTTTTTGCTTCCTTAGTTTGAGATGGAGTGCCGATAGTGTCACAGCTCGGCGCCCCGCCATTAGCCAAGAGGTTGAGATGGTTGGAATAAAGCTCGGGTGGCCAAGGATGTAGTTAAAGATTTTGAAGGGCTTAGGATTGGGTTTACATAAAGGTTGAAGAGTGATTTGGCATGGTGAGTGGTCAGATGGGCGGGGAGAGATGAAAGTTGCATGACTGTGCGGGAAGGACAGCAGCCAAGAGGCATTGATTAAGGCTCGGTCTAGTTTCTTGGCGATTGGGTTACTAGCTTGCTTGTTTGACCAGGTGAAAAGGGGCCCCTGGAATGGTAGATCAAAAGCTTCTGTATAGTGGATGAAGTTGAGAAATCGCGACATGGAGGGGGAATGATGGGTGACAGACAAAGATGAGTGTTTATGAGGGTAGGCAATCTCATTGAAATCTCCACAGATTAGCCAGGGTGAATCTGAGGAGATATGAGACTGATTCAGGCTTTGAAGATGCTCCCAAAGGAGACTTCTTTCTGCTGAAAGGTTTGATGCATAAACCACGATCAGGTAAAATGATCTGAGGTTGTCGGGACACAAAAGCAGAGTAAGAGCTTGCCTACTCTTCAAAATGGTGGTCACTGCTACAGAAGGGTTAATCAAAACCCATATACGACCAGCCTCGTCTTCGGAATAGTTATCAAAAAACTGCCATTGTACGCCAAGTCTGCCCAAAATATTTCCACTGTTGGCCTCCCTTACGTGTGTCTCAAGGATGGCCCCAAAAAGCAGTGAGCTTGCTCGGAAATGCTCACAAACCGCTGCATGTTTCCTGGGGTCATTTAGTCCCCTTATGTTCCAAAAAAAACCTGACATAACTTGGCCAATATACTCGTAAGGATTTCCCGCTTTAGCGGGATTTTCAGTTCCCTTGCTCACAAACCCTTTGAAGTTATTGTCGATTTTTTATGACTATTGAACCAAACATATGCATGATCCGTGATTTGGTTATGTCGGGAGATTTTTCTGTCCAAGATTTTTTGCCTGCTACCGCTCTCCTCCCAGTGAAGAACTCGATTTGTCGGACGGAGGGCTTTGCCGAGATAGATACGGGACTTCAACCATTGTCTCGACGATGTTCTCGCCCACAAGCAACCTACTTCCCGTCCACGTCGCTTGTTTCTTGACGTACCCTAATCCAAAATATCCCGACTCTTGCCTTCCCGATGTACAGCTCATAACCTTCCCCACCTGCAATAGCTTATAGAGTTTGTTAAGAGAACGATAGATAAAATCAGATCTAAACGATAAGATGTTTGGATGGCGAGAAATCGTCAGAAAACGAGAGAAACATACGGAAACTGCTTTATATACAACCCAAGAGTCTGTTAGCTCAGTAACTAACTCCCTAACTGAAAGCCTAACAGAAAACTAATAACATTAATACCTTTTTTCCGCCGCGGAGCGTAATGGAGCTCCCGGGTTCTGCAGGCGCAGAGAGCCAAAGTCCATGTAACTTCTGCTTGATTCCGTCGTATGTTATGAGCTGTGACCGTCTCCTGTCCCTTGTAACATCCTGCGATGTTTGAAGACAGGTTTTTCATATCTTATTGTTCTTATTTCACCGCAGGGAAAGATGTTTCCACATCGGAGGAGGTAATTAGACATTAATGGTGTAACATGTATGACTGAAATTATTTGACTAGAAATAAATTTCCTAGTTTTTTAAATCAAAAATCTCATAAAACAATCCATCAAGTTTCTAGTTTTCTAATTTTTTTTTTCTACATCCGAAAACTGCTTTAAAAAAATCTGCAGATTTTGTGAAAAACAAAAACCCGAAAATCCAAAAAAAAAAAACAGATATTTACAGAGAGAGAGAACAATGAGAAGACATGTTTAGGGAGTGTTAGTATTACAGTATTTCTTCTCGTGTCCACCTTCTCAATTCAAAAAAACATAAACTAAGACTCTGAAAGTGATTGAGAAAACATCTGCTCTTCCCCCATCATATTACCCGTCGCTCTTATTCTCCTCGACAGTTATGTAGACTCGTCCCCGGAACAATGTGGCTTCCAACGCTCAATCCCGTCAACGTAATCTTTTGTTTCACAAACTAAACTGGCTGATGACGACTTACATGGATTGGTTTCAGAGTTTCTCTCTTTTGGGTAATTGTTTGCAGATGGCAGAATCTCATGCTTCGGTCTTGAATCTCTTCTTCTATGGCGATGATGCCTCCCTTCCCATGTTTCTTCCTCGGATTTCTCCTCACTGGGATGGGTTTCGTCATCTCGTGTCCCGTACTTAAGACCCGAGTCACGCTTTCTCTGCCTGCTATTCCTACGATCTCGAGTTGATCCCAGATTTTGTACATTTGATCTGTCCGAAACATCATCTTGAGGGTATGATCCTTTCCTTTTATGGTGATGATGTCTTTTCTCGACAAAGTCTTCCTCCAACCAATCTCCAGGGGAAGATCTTGAGCTGTTTCTTTCGTGCCGATGTTTAGATCTGTCCTGAATTGTATTGACCTGATTATCAGTTGATGATGATCCTTCCCTGTTGCGTTTTCTTGAACTCTTCTGTTCTTTCTCATCGTCCAGCTGTTCTCCACGAACTTCAAAAGCTGGTCTTCCATAATGGTTTGATCTTTTCCTTTTGTAGAATCTCTTGGTGTCCCCATCTCCATCTGAAGAATCATCGTCAGAATGTTGTTCACGGATTCTTTCTCTTGTGACCCAATAGCCAGGAGTGCAATCCGACCATTTGCTTTCACGATACAACGTTCTCCTCGCGTACTCCCTCCCTGAACTACCTTCCTTGGTGTCACTAGAAAGAGTTCCTCTTTCATCATGACCATGATCTTCCACCCTACCAGCTCTGTGTCCATGACTGCCTTCCGATGTATCACCACACCTCTCACGAACACTCACATAACCACCATCCCTCGATCTAGATCGTCTTGCAGGTCGCCTGACAGGGTAACGAAATGTAAAAAACAAATGACAGGCAAGTAAGAGATCGATAAGTTAAGCATGATATATTCCAGAGCACGGAATCATTCAAGATTTCGAATACATGATAGATGAGATGCAGCCAACTGCAATATATGGCTTGAGTTGATAGATAAGGATCTGAAAAAGCTGTAAGTGTATATACGAAGCTTTTACCTATGTGAATCCGAGCCAGAGTCCTTCAATGTGCTTGAAGATTCACACTCTCTCTGCTTCATATATTCATCTGAATAACCGAATAAAGCGACCATTTTCCTTATCCAGTATCTTGGAGGTGGTTTGTCATAGTCAGCCCATTCATAGTCTCCACCAGGATTACGGAAGCAATGGATAAAATTGCACGAAGATCCTCGAGAGCATGTCTGTCAGAATATGAAAACATAGTCAAATAGAGATGGGTCCAAAATATGAAACTCAGATCAGCCACCTGAGAAAAAGATGACAATAAAATGAAAAATTGTGTTTATTGACAAATGAATATGATATTAGACGAGAGAGTCATACTTTAAGCCTGGACTTCATGTACTCCCCGCATATAGCAACTTTCCACCTTGAGATATTGACAAATTCGCACTGAACCTGATTTAAAAAAAAAGTGCAATTGGTACAGATAAGAATGACAACAAGCTAAAGAATTCAGAAGCCGTGTTGCAAAGAACATTTCAGAAAGCTGTTCCCACGTGGAAAATGAACTAACGTATGCAGTTGAAATTAGATGAATACAGATCTAATCAGCAAATAAAAGAAATTGATGCCATTCTGAGTTTAACAGTAAGCAAAGACTTCTGTATATTCAACCACTAGCTCTTCTGTATATTCATCCTTGAAGAAAGAAGATATGGACAAATAACATGTGTCTTTTAGCACAGATGACTACCAGTCCAAATATATTAGCCTTAGTGCAGCTGTTGTGAGTATAAACTAGCATCTGTCCCAAAGCAGGACGGAAAACCTAAGAATGCAAAGAAAAAACTACGCATGAAAAAAACGCTTTACAGATGACAAAATGCCATGTATGGAAATCATGCTAAGTAAAACTAATATCAGGGTCTCCAAAAGCACAGAAATGAATGATAAAAACACAGGAACACCTGTACTGGTAAACTATAATCCGAATTACATCAGGCAGAGGAAGGACAGACTATCCAAGGAAAACAGCATACCTGTTTACCAGCAAAGTACCGACCGTTGATGGACTGGTAAGCAAGAATAGCTGATTCCAATGACCTATAGTGTACATATACATTGCCCCTCAAGTGAAACGAGCCATTTCTACACACCTGAAAGGAACACAGTTACACAAATGAGATCCTTCTTAAAGAAAGGAAAAGGTGAGAAGATCGGCTGATCAAAACAAGAGACATTTATCTAACAAACATCATTCCCAAGGCAGGATAGCATTGGTTGCTCACTCAAAAACAATTAGAGACAGGGAACAACTTCTGTTTACATAAGTGCAAGGCAGCAGGTTCAGAAAGCACCATTCAGCTCTACTGTTGGGTGCAGGCATTATCGAAAACTATTATTAGAAACCCAAAAGATGAGGTGGAGGAAGAGATAGTGAGAGAGAGAATATGGAATGGGAGCTGGGGAGAAGCAAAGAATTGAGAGTAGTCAGCAACCTTGAAATTAACAAGTTCTCCATACTTCAGGAATTCTGTATGAACGTCCTCATAAAATTCTTCATAACAACGTTCAACCTCGTCTTCTGAATACTGAAAGGAACAAAAGAGAAAGAAGGACAGGAGTAAACTATAGTCAGCCACTGAAAGCAAGCACACTATCATTAATATATTACACATGTCAAAATCCAGTAGTTTCGACATTGGGTAAACAAGAGCAACATCCTTACAGAAATATAACTGCAATAGTCTTTTTTGGGTACTATTTGCCCAAAGCCACCAAGAGGAAGCAAAGAAACTGCTCTGTTCTCAATTTAGGAAAAACAAGCACTCCCATGCTATTGTGTGCATAGGTTGAATAGTTTGTCGCATGTCACTCACTTCCACAGGGAAATCCAAAAAGGAAATTCCAACAAATATGATAGATAAAGCTACCAAGACCATGGACATGTCATAGCTGATCTATCGAATGAGTAGGATACGGAGAAGTAAACTGCTTAAAACTCCAACCTGACCAAGGTCAGAATCATGCACCTCCACTGAAGTCTTTCCATCAATTTCTGACGTAGAGTTAAAGAATATGATAACAATGATAAAGAAAAGAATCAGTAAAATCCTGTGAATTCAGGGCAACCAACAACACAGAAAACAAAAAGATGAAAAAGGAACTATGGTCATCTATCACATAATGAACATTGATAGCATAATGGAAGATGGATAGTTATTCTTAGGATACAAGCATCACAAGACAACAGCGCTTACAGACCTCAAGCCCTTCATCCTGCTCCCATGCAATGCCAGGACCGGTATACATGTTCTTCATTAATAGAGTGCATGATTTATCAGGGTAGAAATGAACTCTACTGCAACGCTGACCAAAGCGACAAGCTCCAGTTTTCAGATGGAAAGGGCAATGAGCTTTATCCTGTACATTCACAATGAATAAAAAATAAGGACATGGCCAAAGGGGAAACTATGAAAAACACAAAAGGTGATATTCCATCAGAACCAAGTGGTCCAAAGAAAAACCTGCTCAGTCCCAAAGTTGGGTAATTGATGAGCAACATTCTCCAGAACTTGCTGAGCAGAACTAGCTTTCTGAAGATCAGTAAAAGCTTCTGTTTCAGGAGGTAGAGGATTTGAAGTAGGCCTATCAGCAATCTGCAAGGTAAAATCCAAGTTGGAACTCTCAATAAACCCGAAAAAACTGAAAGATAATGTCTTTACTCAGATGATGAATGATCAAGTACCTCATGTGCTTCAACCAGTTTATGTGATTTCTTTGGGACCCTCACTTTTTTCTTTCTGAGAATAATCTCATCCCCCTGAAATATAATCTCTGGAGGCCCTTCTTCAACGTGTTCCCATTCATCATCTTCATCACATTCATTCTGTAAATGCATCAGACAACCAACAATGATGCGAATAAGGGCCAGTTATTGTCAGAAATCGTCTTTTTGTCACATATTATGTTCCAATTCCATGCATTTCCCCAATTTCGCAGCATCCAAACACTAGGGATGACTGTAGGAAGAAACAAATGGCGACGATAAGAAACTACCTCAAGTTTTCGAGACCCTTCTAGCTCCTTCTTTCGCCTCGCTTCCTCTTCCCTCTCCGCTTCCTCTTCAGCTTCCTCCTTCTTCTTCTTCAACTCCATGGCCTCTAACCAAGCCCTTTCTCTCTCCTCGAACTCCTTCAGCTCCCTCTCCCTCCGCCGCGCCTCCTCTTCATCCGCTGCCCTCAGTCTCTCCTGCTCCACCGGATCGCAAAGCCTCTCCTTCGCCTCCGCATCCTCCCTCTCTTTCTCCGCCATCTCCTTCCTCACCTGCTTCCTCCTCATCTTCTTCATCGCTTTCCGCTTCTCCCTCCGGCTCTTAGCCGCCGATTCACCGCCTCGCTCTCCTTCCCCTCCCGTGCCGTTGGGCTGTTCCATTTTCCGACTACACGATTCGGACCACGTTGATTCTCCGGTTGCCGGAAACGTTTCGAGGACGGACAACTCCTGGGAGAATCAGGATTCAGGACAAGTCGCCGTCGGTTGTTTCCTTTCCTTACCGGAATTGGTAGAAGGTTAATGTTTTGGGTCGCACCTACCTCACGTTGTACACCAGAAAAAATATTACTTTTTTTTTTTGTTGAAAAGACGAAATTACCTTAATGGATACGCAATTTTTATCCGTTCAAAAACAACTTCGTTATTACGACTTCGTAATTAATTCTAAATATAGTTACAATTGATTCTAAAAAATGTGACTAAAAAATTATCTGTCTTATTTTAGTTGTATATCAGTTATATGTTAGTCGTAATAAAGTCGCAAAAAATAAAACGAAAAGGGTATTTCGGACTTTTCCAACCAAAAAGTAGGTTAAAATTGAAAAAAAAAAATATTCGTCGGTGGTGTACACTGAAATTGTTGCGACCCAACTGGGTTATTTGAGTAATATTTCCTACTGTTTTCCTGCACATAATACAAAATATTAATAATTTATTTACTTGCATATATTATATATTATGTTACGATATTAAAATTGAGAAATCATAAATTCCTAGATTAAAAATTATAATATATAAAAAAAACTCACATAATAATTTTATTTTTTTCTTTCAACTTTACTGATTTATTCCAATATCAAATTTTATCATATATTTATATATTAGTTTAGATTTTCAATTTTAAGTTGTAAAAAAATCCTTAATCAGTGATACTGTATCCACCTAATTATCATATCCATTTATCAATTACTATTTTCTCTAGTTCTTTTAACACACTAAAAATTAAATCCTAACTACTAATTTTTTAGTTTTCAATTCTAATATTAACTCTAACTTTTCAATTCTAAACTTTAAATCATACAGAACTTTAAATTTAACCTCTAAATTTTAAAACTTAAATTTCAAATTTATACTTTATGTTCTAAGATATTTTATATTATTTCAAATTTATTAAGGAGAATTACTTTCATAATCAATAAAAGTAACTATATTATTAAGGTAAAATTCTATAAAAATTCCCCAATTCTTTAAAATGTATTAGAAAAAATCCCTAATTAAAACTTTATCAAATATATTTTCAAATTCAAAAATTATTTTCAAATCAATACCCGATAAAAACAACGTTATTCTACCGTTTAATGAGTCTGAAGTGGTATCCCTGCATTACCGCATAAGTTACACATAGATTGCCACGTCAAATATTTTGACAAACCGATTTAGGCATGAATACGGTTTAACATAAACCAGTTTAACAGATTTTATAACCCTAAATTTTTACCTTACCCATCTCCTCTGTCGCGACCACCACTATTATCATGAATTCATGATCAAAATTATCCTCATCGGTATAATTTTCTGTGCCACTTTCAGTTTCAGACTCCTTATTTTCAACAGAAACATTATACTCAATATAATCAACATGATTAGCCTCATTAACCATAACCTCATAACGTGAAAGCCCATCTATAGTTTCCATAATTCCACATATGTAATATGCATGTGTTGTGACCAGCGCAAATACCAATCACAACTTATTCTTAACCTCTAACAACAGGCACAACCACAACCTAGTGTGAATAAAAACTTACTCCATAACGTCGATCACAACAAAGAAATTCTGTTGAATCTGCTCCTAAGTCTTCAACACCGATTAATCGATACTTCTGTTTTAACACAAAAGTATCAGTCAAATAGTGACAAAAGAAATATTAACAACTCAAAAACCACCCTCTACTCACCTAACCCAGACCTAAAGCTGATCGAAACCCTATTTTCAAACCTTCGAACCCTATGAATCTTCCATTTATCGCAAATTTCGGGAAAGAAAACTCAAGGTACTAACTGATTATGTTTTCGATGAATTTGGAAGATTACAGGTAGACAGAGTTCTTCAGGAAACAGTCGAAAGGGAAATTCTTCCACAGTGGAATCGGAAAGCGAGGTTGGAAATGGATCTGGCTGTGTCGGAGGGTATCGACAACAAAAATCGCCGAGAGAAATCAGAAAGTTTGACAAAGAAGTGTATACTATTAATACTAATTGATGAAGACGATTGTTACAAGGATTTTCTTATAAAGAAAAAGTAATAATCATGCTAAAAGTATTTATAAATAAAGTCATTATTATATGGGAAAAACATCGAAAAATTTTCAAATTTGTAATTTGGTAGATTGAAGGTCTTCTATCCATGGTTTTTGGGTTTTTATAGAAAATCTGTGTATTTCGGGGTCGGTTAAGTGTTTGGAGAGTGAAATCTCGAGACAAAGAGGAGAATGTGGATGTTTGTGTGAATGAAAGAAGAAAGGTCGAGATTTCGGTATATAAAGACGAAAATATCGATGTTAAAAACATCGATATCGATATTAAAAACATCGATATCGATGTTCCACATTGAGATCTGGCGGATCTGCATGTTCCAGATCTCGACGTCAACCAACGACGATATCGATGTTTGTAAACATCGATATCGACCATGACTCCTCGGATTTCGCTCTGTCTCGATGTCGAGGTTCTGCAACGTTGATCAATATCGATGTTTCTGAAACTCGAGATTTCTGAAAATCCCCAGTTCCAATTACGGAACAGATCTCGACGTTTCAGAGCATCAATATCGACGTTTTTATACCTCGAGATTTCCAAAAAATTTCCAAAAAACCCGTTTTTCACGTTTTTCTCTTTCCCAATCACTATTGGTCCTCTTTCTAGCAACGTATGTTCGTGATGCATGAAATTAAACGTACTAATGGAACACAATTACATGGGTTACCTCCCGCGAAGTGCTCATTTAAGGTCATCAGCTTGACCCTCTTATTTTCAGTGATCTGGTGGTCGTGTTGGACGGAATTAGTTAACTTTCCGCCATTACGGAGGTATGTACACTGCGCTAGTGCACACTGTCCGTCTCAACTTACAGTCATTTCCGTTCGCAGATTCAGGAATCAGATCTGGTGGTTTCGTCTTAGTGCCTGATCCAGCATCAGAAATCTTCAGTTGACGCTCGGCTTCTGCAGAACTTTTCCATCGGGTTTCCCCTTAGACGTCATTATTGGAAATTCAGATCTGGCTTTTATCCCGTTCTCTGCCTTAGAGCTTACAGATTTAGCCACTACCAAGATGTAGACATCTTCATCATACGCAATTCCTTTGTCTGTATCCTTCAGTTGCGGAATTTGCTTCTCCGGTGAACCAGGCGGTTCTTCTGGAGTAGTCAACGACTGTGCATTTTCTTGTTTAGCTCGTTCTGGTTTTGGTTCCACCTTGAATTCAATGTCCTCATCTCATATATACATCTTTGTGCATCCTTTTCGAACATGAATTACGACATCGACAGTGTTGAGAAATGAACATCCTAAGATGACTGATTCATCATTTTTGTTATCCATATCAATAATCACAAAATCGATCGGAACGTAAACGTTTCCAACCTTAAGTGGTCACTGACTTGTCTGCCAACTGCAGGATCATCTTAGTGGGCTTCAGTTCACCCACGTTCAGCTTATCATATGTGGTCTTTGGTAATAGACTTACACTCGCTCCTAAGTCGCACAGTGCGCTAGGAATGGAGACACTGCCCAATTGGTAGGGTATAGAGAAACTTGGTGGAACTGCCATCTTGGTTGGTAGGTTCTGTTGCAGTACAACACTGCATTCAGCTGTTAAGATTATTGGTTCATCTTCTAATTTCTCCTTCTTGACGAATGAGTCTTTAAGAAACTTCTCGTAAGATGGTGTTTGCGCCACAGCTTCTTGTAGAGGCTAGGTGATAACACATATTTTGTGCGATGTTTTGATATAGGATGTTTAGCGTATTTCACTCGGTTTACATATCTGTAGACATTCTATGGCTCATTTGGTTTCGATATTGGTTGGTTGTGTTCTTTGGTGTTTAAATAGGTATCCATGCATAAAGAGAGCAAAAGGAGTGAAAAACATGGATTACGGAACATCAAGGATGAATCGGGAACATTTGGAATAGTTTCAGAGAAAACGTGAAGCTCAAAAAAGTCAGATCTTGCAAATCCAATAACTTTCACTGTAGGAGTCCAAATCATACATTCTCTACATCATTAGAAAGTTCTTTTCGATATCTACATAAGACACCAAGATCACCCAAATCCGATATCAAAGCAGAAAGTTATGAGAAAATTCGTGAAGCCTGTCAAAATTGCGATGTGACACGATCGTGTCACTTATTGAAGACACGGAGTCACTTAAATTTTGGAAATCTTCCAAATTTTTCTAAAAGAAAGAAGAAATAATTAGGGTTAGCCGTCAAGGTCAAATTCATTGATACTTTGACAGAAAATACACCATAGAGCACACAAAAGATGGCGATTATCAAGAGGCAAGAGATCGGAGTAGAAGACTAAGATTACGAAGCCGGGAAATCGACTAAGCATGCTTCTTTTCTTCTATTTTACGATGTTTTGTATTATTGATATGAATTCTGACGTCTCGATGTTTAGCGAGTAGTTCCTCTACTGTAGGTTAGGGATTTGCTATGTAGGGATCTTTGGATTTTAATTCCAAACTATGTGGATTTATTTATTCTATTCGATTTATTGAGTTGTTCTTAATGCGTTTGATCTTGTTGGTCGCTTGATTGAATGAACTTAGGGTTTTAATTCGCACAGAGATATGAGATTATAACCTGGAGATAACTCAATAAATAAAATAGGATTGCATCGAGAGATAAATATTTGCCTAGGGCTTATGATAGCGTTCGTTCATGCATCCAGGGTTTTAGACTATTGAATCGAGAGATTAGTAGGATAAAGCCTGGATAGTGATATTAGACTCAAGATGGTTAATCTCTACTTTAGAGCTTGAATTCCCTGAATTGGATAAATAAACCACTGAGTTTGCCTCTTTTGAAAAACCCTTGCATGTAAAGTAATCCCAAAGCTTACAGTGTTCATCATTCATAGTTTACAACCGGTCTTATTGTTTGCTTTGCTACACTCTCATACTCATATTATTCCCTCTGGATCTAGACTTGGATTTGGATTTGATTTCTTTGTCTACTTTTGTCCCTGTGTTCGATCCTAGCGACTACATGCGATCCGTATACTTGCGGTTAATTGTTGAGTCTAGGATAT